GGACCAGAGTGCCGCCCTGAGGCCTGCTCGGGACACGACACTCTCCCGGCCGGGCCGCTGCGCCCCCGGGCCCGGCGCGCCCTTTCCGGGGGGGGTACCCAGGCCCAACTCCCTATTCTCAGGGCTTAGGGACGCCCCCTACTCCTCCCCCCGGGCATTCGAGGGCCGATGCGCCTCCGCTAAACCGCCCCCAGCTGTGTCAGGTAAACTTGGAGGGTGACGGGTAGAGAGGGAGAAGGGTGGGCACGAGAGCGGTGGGAACGCAGCCTTCTCAGTTCAGAAAAGGCACGTTGAGGGCTCTGGGCCAGAAGTAACCTGGCAGTGGGGCGCCAGGGAAGGAGGTGGGGAAGTGCCAGGTTAACTAAGCCGCGGCACACCCTACTGCACCTTCCTGTTTTGCAAACCATTCCCAGTGGTACCAGTTTGAGGCTGCACTGCACACCTGCGCAACCTGTCTGATACTGAGTTTCCGCAAGATGTTTCTGTAAGTCTGAATTCCTAGGAAGTCTCGATGGCCTTTATCCCTGTAGGGGCACACTAGGTGTCTCAGCGCTCATATTGCTCCTTTAATTGAGTCAGGAGTTCTACAGAAGCTGAAACAAAGTCAGGGACCACAACCTGGTTCTGGCTCTGCCACTTCCTCAGTATGTGATCTGGGGCAAGACATCCTATTTGGCAACATCTCCATATCCTTATCTGCAGATTGAAGAGGGTAAGGTTTTGCCCAAGAAAGTGTTTACAAAGCATGTTACAGGATTATAAAGAGGGTTATCAGATATAAAAGGTTTTAAAATACTTCACAGTGCACAGAATATGGAACAGGAGTTTAGGGAAGTAATTTGGCTGATATTTCACAAGCTGTTTTGTAGTTTCAATTCCAGTCTTATTCTGAAGGTAGAAATAAGGTTGCCAGATTTATGTAGACTGGCAAAGTTATTTCTAGAGTGCAGGGAAGGTTTTGAACAAAAAAGCCAGCTAACACTTGGCCAATGCTTTTAGTGACTGAGAAATCACAAAAGGCAAGTTGCGTATGTTGGCTTGTGGCTGTGATCATCCAATTCCATTCCATTCCATTTTTGTGTGATCACTCAATTCCATTTTTGGGCAATATGCTCCTTGTTGATCGTTGTAACTAGTTGTATATTGTAGAAATTAAATTCACACCTTAACAGGACAGGGAATATGTGTATTTTCTTGTGCTCCATGCACAAAGGGCACTTATTTAGGGAAGATAAGTAAGCTCAGACTTACATGCTCTATGGACAAAGCCTATGTGTTTGCTGCATTGAAAAAATTGTTGAAGAACAGTTCCTTCTTTCAAAGCTTCTTGGCACTTGTTTTGGTGGGCAAATACTTTTGGCTTCAATGACTCAAAATCTTTTCAAATGTTCTATTGGTATCCTAGTACTTGCTCACTGTCATAGATTCTTTTTTTTCCCTTTGACCCTATAAACATTGGCCCCTTTTCTAGTCTGAAATTTATTTGTTCTTACTTATTTATACTTGCATTATTCCTCAGAGAATTTGAGGCAGCATACAGATAATGTATACTACACTATAAGATAAAAAATTAGTAAGTGAGGAAATAGATATGATGTTAAAGAGAGGAAAAATAGGATATCAGAATTGCCCAAAGCAGAAGGTTTTATCGTGGTTTTGAGATCACAATGAACTTACTGCTCGAGAGAGGCACATCTTTTCCTGATATTGAGACTTTAGAAAAACTTACCTCATGAGCCTTCATAGAGTAGAAACTCCTAATTCCTATCTTCAAACAAGGATAAAATCTTTCTGATAATTCTTCAAACATGTTATTCTTGAAATACAATGTTTGATGTTAATTAGGCAATAAAATGTTTGAGGTCATAGGCTTCAACAAGACCATGGAGTGCAGACATTTTATGTTGCCAGTAGTGGCAGATCCATATGCTTTGACCATCAACCCAGGGGTGGATAGCATGGAAAATGTCCAGATTCTATGTGGTGGTTAAGAATGTGTCTGCCATAATCATTATTTTCCTTTACCACAATTGATGCAAAGAAAAAACATCTGCTTTATGCTAACTCTAAAAGAATCTTTAGAATTTTTAAATAACTTGTTAAGTTAATTTTAACAAGGTCGGTGAAGTCATAGCTTGTGAGTTAAATATTACATGATTAGTATAAAATTCAAATTTAGTTTCTATAAAATAAACATCCAGTGTGTGAATTTAATTTAACCTTCTAAACTATTAAGCACATGATTTCAAGGTTGAAGGTTACACAATAAAAATTATAGGTAACAGAAGAGTTTCTTAAAAACTGCCCAAATTTATAATGCCAGGGTATTGAATAAGAATAAATATGGCTTGATAGGCTCTTCATCTCAACCTGATTGTCATATATTCTTTGTGTCTTATAATATCTGACATGTAAATATCTTCCATGCGTTACTTTTATCTACATAATGCTTTACTTTTATCTATATGGTTCACTCTATGCTTTATAGTGTTTTCCCCTTCTTTCAAACTTCTTTACTAAAATGCTAGTTATAATCTGAGGCCTCTGGTTTCAATTTAGCTAAGACTGAATTTTTAAAAATTGGGGGACATAAAAAATTTTAACCTCTACATAGGTGAGTTTCACAATTTACTATCCAAGACAGAATGGCTAATTAAAACCCCTCAGTGTGACAAAATAGAGTATCAGGACAATAACTTTAGTATAGAATGTATAGCTTTAAGCAGTATAATCTCCTGATGAATCTTCCAACATAAATTAGTTGCAAAATGTAACTTTATGTGATTGAGTTTACCACTCCAAAGGTTTGGTAAGTATAAATCAATTAAATGTTGGAAGGCATTGGCCACAATTACAATTTGGATTTTCAAATAGTTAATTTTGAAGTATTCTTTCTGTTGCTAGTAAGAATCAGGTGTCTGTTGAGGCCAAAACTGTGTTTTCAAAGTACAGGATAATTCTATTTTGTTCTGGAGAGCAATAGAACATGTATCTCATTCAGAATCAGTTATCAGGTCATTATGATGGGAGTTTTTAAAAAGAAGAGTTGAGGAAGGTAGTGCACACCTCTTTTTTAATCCAGATTGAATTGATTATCTGATATGTAACCTTGATCCTCAGGGTGGTTTTAAGGTTTATGTCAGAATTAATAGCAGGCTTCCTGTTTTCAGCTCACAAACAGGTCCGGTGTACAAATTCAATAGCTAAGAAAAGATATAATCTTACATTGTGCCTTATCGATTACCTCGCAACATAATAAGTGTAACGTTCAGAAGGGGTTCCTAAAGTTTGCTTGCACTTCATACAGACTAGTGTTCTGGGAAGCCCTAATGTGCAGAAGAAGCTGCAATGCCTGGCACTGCATCCTAAGCTATCTAGCTCTTCCAGGATTCTAATACGTTGTCTTTCTCCTTGCCCCGTTAGGGCAAGAATGATAGTGGCTTCCTATTGTAGCCAGTCTCAGAATGCTTTACATTCCTTGTTGGTCCCTTTAACCCTGTGCACGTGTTTCACAACTCATCCTTTCATTAGATTCTCTTTTCATGCTGTATCTTTCTTGCCAGAACCCCAGTTGATAGTTATAGAAATTGGAAGTAGACTCAGGAAAGAAACCCTTGCAAAATTCTTCAGTAAAATGCTAATTATAATCAGTGGCCCCATATATCTGTTGATTATCTGTATAAACTACTTGCCATGGACGATGAAACAATGGTGTTCCATAGTATGGAGTGACATCACAATTAAATAATCATCAACGGTGGCATGAGGTGGAGGGCTGATGGAGCACTAGCACTTGGCTGCTTTGACAGTGAGGATTACTAAAATTGTGTTATTTGCTCTGATTGCTTCTGTGAGAATATATGGGGAAAAAAGACAAAGAGAGCCTTGAGTTCCAAACTTAAGGCATGAATAGAAAATCAGGAAGCTTCTTTGACAGCTTTGAAGAAACCTTATTTCTCTTGAAGCTGCAGGGCAGATGCGGTTGAGGATCAAGCCCTGGTGGTAAAGGCTTCAGAGTTACAATGGCATTTAAATGTGTGAACTAGACTTCTTATGCTCAGAGCACTGGTGGGGAAGGATTGGGATCTGTGATGTGAAATTAGGGGCATTTGGGCAGATATGAATGAGGCTGAGAACTTTGAACAAGAGTTAGATTTCAACATAGCCCTGATGGAGAAGGACAAGACTTGTTCTTGGAAGAGAGAGCTTATGTACTGAAGGAGTTACAGGATGTTACCAAATACTTACCTGTGATTCAGATTTTATTTGTTGTTGTGAGTAGTTGGTCTGTACGCTGAGATACTGGAACTTCCCTGGCATACTGTAGAAGGAATATGAAGTCTTAGGGAGATGGGAATTTTGGACCTGCTCTATTATGTGCATCGTGCTTAGTCATGCTGTATCCATACAGTCCCTAGAAGGGCCCTTAAAATTGACCCTTATCAACTCATTGAGTAAAGTCCATAGATATCCTTGAAAAATTCTTTGGTGGCTGTCCTCGGTTGGTTAGAGGTGGTGATGGAGTTGCCACAATGAAATTGGGATCCATGATTTCAATGGGAATATTGATCTCCTCAGTAGAGAGTAGGGAATAGAGGCCAGGTGGGAGATTCTTAACTGTCAAAGTTATGTTCAGCACAGTTGCCCTAATAACCCTCAGGAAGAAGTGATAATCAGGGTGTTTGACTGCAAGGATATTTGCTGGTGGCTTATGATCACCAAGTCTCTAGGAATGAATGAAACCCACAGCCTACTTAAGTGCTGTGTGACACATGTAAGCAGAAGAATTCTAGGTCTGATGAGCAGAAATCTAACTCAAGTCACTATAATGGAGATTCCAGACCTATTACCCAATTCCTAGACTAAAGCCAGTTAACAGACCTAGAGTCCCTTAATTAAGAGCAATACCAGGTTTCTTTGAGGAAGGATTCTGCAGTGCAGCCAGGTATAAACAGTGAATCTTCCCTGAGGCAATTCTTAGAGGCACTTGTGATCTTTTCCCAGGGGATTACAAACTGAGGAATGGGAAATTCCCACATCTTCTAAAGGTTAATAAGTTTTAGCCCTGAATATTAATCCCTGCAGTCTCAAAATGTGACCAAAATTCCAATGATTAGAGTAGAGACTTAAAGTCAAGAGTATATGAGCAGCTTATACAACTTAATACCAAAAAACCAAACAACCCAATCACAAAGGGCAGAAG